AAGGCTATTATCTGATTCCATATTTTGCAAATTCTATAATCTCATGTTCTTTAAGATTCAGCTGGATTTTGCCATACATCATGCTCTTTGATTACTTCCGATTTTCTGATTTTGCTATTTTTCTTTGATATGATGGCATTAGTCATCTAATATATTCTAAAATAATCAGAAGCTCCTTAATGAATCTTTGATATATAAGCCTATCCATAAATATAAATAAATATTGATATAGATATAAATCTTAAAAATGATTTTATAAATAAAGATAATATATCTATATATATATCTATTCTTATCATTAATATATAGAAAAAAATATATATAGAATATCTTATAAGGAATATAATTTCATGAATTTCTATTTATATATCATGAAATTGAATTTTGATATATGCCGAAATAGGATGAATTAATTATATATAATTATTTATAAGATCAATAAGCTTAATTTCTATAGATATTCTCCCAGAATATCGAATTGAATTCGGATAATTATCGATCCAATCTAATATTAAGAATAGCTGCAATTTGACTGGATAATGATCCATATCATTTATATAATCAAATTCTTGATTTCGGATAGACGAGATTATATAAAGATTAGTATGGACCCCGTGAAATTGATATATATAAATTCAAATTATAAGAATATATATATATATATGAATATGAGCACTGATTTGAATATTTTTTATTATTAGATCTAAATATTATAATCTTAATTGAAATTCAATATATATTATAGGCGGCAATTTCGGGAGCCACTAAGAAAGATATTGATATCAGGCGGATATTTAAATATATGCGAAGTTATTAGTGCCTTATAATTTATAAAATTTTCAGGATCCAGCCATTATTTTCAAGAGATTTGCCCCCCCCCCCCGGCATCTCCTATCGAAGAGACTTATAATTCTAGCTTTGATTAGATTTCTCGATGGCTTGGGCATCGTGCAGCCCTATCGAAACCTATCTGGGATATGCACTTATTTTAATATCATAGATATCGCACTCATTATCTCATATATTGATTTGACCCATGAGATCTATGATCTATTTTAGAAGATCTGGCTTTCAAGGCTATTATCTGATTCCATATTTTGCAAATTCTATAATCTCATTTTCTTTAAGATTCAGCTGGATTTTGCCATGCATCATGCTCTTTGATTATTTCCGACTTTCCGATTTTGCTATTTTTCTTTGATATGATGGCATTAGTCATCTAATATATTCTAAAATAATCAGAAGTTCCTTAATGAATCTTTGATATATAAGTCTATCCATAAATAAAAATAAATATTGATATAGATATAAATCTTAAAAATAATTTTATAAATAAAGATAATATATCCATATATATATATATCTATTCCTATCATTAATATATAGAAAAAATATATATAGAATATCTTATAAGGAATATAATTTCATAAATTTCTATTTATATATCATGAAATTGAATTTTGATATATGCCGAAATAGGATGAATTATTTATATATAATTATCTATAAGATCAATAAGCTTAATTTCTATAGATATTCTCCCAGAATATCGAATTGAATTCGGATAATTATCGATCCAATTTAATATTAAGAATAGCTGCAATTTGACTGGATAATGACCCGCAATATTCATATAATCAAATTCTTGATTTTAGATAGACGAGATTATATAAAGATTAGTATGGACCCCATCAAATTGATATATATAAATCCAAATTATATGAATATATATATATGAATATCAGCACTGATTTGAATATTTTTTATTATTAGATCTAAATATTATAATCTTAATTGAAATTCAATATATATTATAGGCGGCAATTTCGGGAGCCACTAAGAAAGATATTGATATCAGGCGGATATTTAAATATATGCGA